GTGTGTGTGTGTGTGTGTGTGTGTGTGTGTGTGTGTGTGTGTGTGTGTGTACTACAGTAAGGACTTGGTCAGCAGAATTGTGTTGCTAAAACTGCTGAGAATGACTGGTGGTCGTCTATTTTATATTGGCTGTTGCAAGAAAAAAATGTGTAAGAAAACAAAGAAAGTACAGTTCTGTACTCGTTTGTTTGTTTAACAATAATAACTGACACTAAAGATTGCAATATTATAACTTTGTTATTCAAAATAAAACTGATATTAGCAGTAAATTTAGGACAATAAAGTTTTGCCTAAATATTACAGTAAGCTTTAGACAACCCTTTCAGATACGGTAATCAGTAAGAAAAACATTGGTGATGGATGTGTTTTTTATTTTTATTACTATTTTATTACTTTATTACATTATACTGTAAATGTTAATGTTGAAGGGAAACTAGAACAGACTATATAAATAGGGAACACATGTTTCAAACACAAATAAGAAATGGAAGTGCTGTAGTTTACATCAAGAATAGAACATTTTATATCCCTCTTTGGTGTTTCTTCTCCCCAGCTTTTATTGCGTATTGGATGATGTGTGAAGTTTCTTGTAAAAAGAACATAACCTTACATAGATTTGGTCATTGCCAAAGCGCTTCTGCATCTCATAGAGCAGGCTGCTGTCGGTCAGCTCGCTGAGGGATGCAAGGTCATCATTGGGGGCTGGGGGCATCAGCTTAACCTAAGGAAATACAGTTAATTAGTTTTGATTACAGATAATGGTGTCTGGCTATCTAACTCCTTCTCCACCGAGGAAAAATGTAAAGTAGTCAAAAAAAGGGCTTTCAAGAAAATATACCTGCTCCAGTTTACTGGGTCCAGAACTCAAGGGGCTATCTAGGCCATTATCCTGAGAGGACTGTCGACTGAGTGCTCCACCTGTCTCTCTGAACATGGTACATTTCTCCAACAGGCTGTCCCGCTTAGAGATTGGAAGACCCAGGGGGTTTCTGTATGATAAGCATCAAGTGTGAAAAGATGACTAGAAGGTGGGAAAGGAAGCAGATTTGGTGATTTACTAAAATGTTAAACAAGGAGTATTCATAAAATATTTAACCCACAAGCTCTTGAGAGGAGTGACGACATCGTGAGAACCTCCATCATAGCTTTGGTCGGTGGTAGGAAGAGGCGTGGAGGGGTCCTTTAGTCTCTGCAGCCAGCTGTCCTCTGCATTCAAAAGCATTTCTGCTATCGGCTCCGTTGCTGCAATATCTGTTAATAAATTCCATTGAAATTAGGCTCATTTTGATGCAAACTGGAATGTTAAAAAAGAAACATTTTTGGCACTTCAGATGGGACTGTTTCATTTGCCTGCACTGCTCTTGTAACGTGGACACATCAAAAACATGCAGAATTGTGGCCATCAAGGACCAGGACTGGCACCAACGAAATGTTCTTTTTAAACACTAATGGAACTACAGTGTCAATTTCTGTGTGTGTGTGTGTGTGTGTGTGTGTGTGTGTGTGTGTGTGTGTGTGTGTGTGTGTGTGT